GGAAGGCGGTGTGGTCGGGCAAGGCAGGTCGATTGGGTCTCGACGGCCCGTCCGTGTAACATGTGGGGTTACCAACGATTGGCAACTAGCATGTCCATAACACCCACCCGCGGGAGGGCCCGAGACCCCTCCCACAAACACGCAGGAAACCACCGTCAGCTTCACGGAGGACGACCTCGAAGCCAGAACCACCATCGAAAGCCGGAAGCGAACCCGGAGTGGAGATATCTTCGCTCCCTCGAATCCAGCCGGTCGAATCACCACCAAGGAGGTGTGGAAACTGATCAGCACCCTTAAGGACGTCATCCGCCAACAAACCACGACCATCGCAGCCACCCAAAACAAACTCCAGGAGATCAAACACAACCAGAACGTCCTCCAGGAACAGAACGAGAGGCTCTATGAGGAAGTGAAAGCACTACGGGTGCAGATCGAAAGCGCCCCAGCAGTGACCGCGACTAGGACCTGGGCAACAGTCGCAGCCAATGGGGGCAATGCCACACCCTCGCTGAACCACCAACAACCCGAGAAAGAGCAAAACTGCGTCCGAATCAGCACCCAGAGAACCTTTATCGACCCAAGAGACAATGAAGACAGCGACGGAAACGCATTTGGACGATATCTCCCCACCGATGCCGTCAACACCCACATCCGCACTGCCTTGTAGAGCGACGATGCAACGCAGGACGCCCAAGTAGCGGGCATTGGAACCACCAAGACCGGCTATCTTATTCGATTCAAAAATACGGAGTCGGCTGAAGCAGCGCGTAATAGCACTAGATGGCTATATAAATTAGGCAACAACACGAAACTGGTCAAACCACGATTCGGTGTTGTAGTCCACCGTACCCCTACCGAGGAATTTGACCTGGAAACAGGGGCCACCTAGGCAGCTGAGAAGATCATCAACGATAACGACCTAGCGGAACTCGGTTTCCACATCGACGAACTGGCCTAGATGAAAGCGAAAGATAAGGCCTTGGGGAAGTTCGTATCGTTGGGAATCTGGTTTGACTCCGTAGAGGGAGCAGAACATATGTTACGGAATGGCTTCCTTGTCAGCCAGCACTATATCCCTCACGTTGAACGACGTGAGATCAAGAAAAAGAGATGTTTTCGGTGCTAACGATTCGGACACTTAGCATAGACGTGCAAGGAAACGCCTCGATGCGGACACTGTGCAGGACAGCACGAGCGTGATCGATGCCCACCGGGAGTGAGAGCGCGGTGCCTGGATTGTAGTGGCGAACATCCGACCGGTGATCGACAGTGTCTAGGACCAGCGACCTCCAACCCCGTCAGATGCTAGAGAGCAACCTCCGTATCCTACAGTTGAACATAATGAAATCTGGACCAAGAATGGAGGCACTGATCAACGATCCTCAAAGCCAAGATCTGGATGTTCTTCTGATCCAGGAGCCCTCCATAACCACGTACCGCACACACGTCAATCACAGCGCCTAGCGACTATATCGGCCTGCTGCACAGCTCGATGCTGATCGGTTTCGCAGCCTGATCTACGTCAACAGACGAATCTCCACCTCCTCACACCGTCAAATATCATGCGACCACCCAGATATCGCAGCCATCAAGATCTAGACAGCTAACTCTCAAATACTTCTCTTTTCTATCTATATACCGCTAGTACCACTTTTCACTGGCGATGACGCATCGGCGTTGCTAGCTCTCACTGCGATTCAGAGCTCCATCGCAGCTGCCACATAAAACGAGTATCGGTCGACTAGTATCATTGTTTCTGGCGACTTCAACCGACACCATCCGATGTGGGGCGGCAATCGCATCGCGCCTAGGTTTATCGAAGACGCCAGCGACTTAATCGACTTTTTCCAGACTCACAACCTCCAAGGCTGCCTGCCCCGAGGCACGGCAACTTACTGGGCCTTGAACAACCTAGGCCAAAACTCAACCATCGATCAGACAGTGACAGACAATCAGTACTAGCTGACACAGACTAGTTCCCGTCAACGAGCCTTCTGCTGCACTCCCGCAAGTGGTGAATCGTTGTTCCTGCCAGTTCCTTTGGAGTATCTCTTTGAGAACCCTCCGGAAAATGCTGATGACCCGGATTTCAACCTCTCGGTGGACGACACCTGGGGCACTGGTGACGCTAAGGGTAATTCCGAAGAAGAGCCTGATGTATGTATCCTAAGTACTGTACCTAATAAACCCGAAAAGGCTGACAGATTTAGGATGCTGCTTTCGGATTCGTGGTTATTACTGCTCCTGAGGAGGTCCAAGTCAGCTTGGACAAGCGTGATGGCTCGCCCTGGGAGTTGATGGATTGCCCCAACACGGATAGCGAAGAGGAGCATACCATCCGCATGGTCTGTACCGAGTCTAGCGAGGACAGCAAGTGTGACCACATTCACCGTGGACAAGGCGCTCCTGGTACTATTCTGCAAATGCCTAATCGCTGTGGCCCTGGTCGGTACGCCGTCGCGAAGGAGCTCAAGGAGTCCCAGAACCAGACCCTCCCCAGACATCTGAACAAGCGTGACCTTGCTGGGAGATCTGTCTACGACCTGACATTTGACTATAACTTCAAGCGCGTCCCTCGTGACTTCGGTGACGCCATGATGCGCATTGACTATAGTAACCAGCCTGGATACTGGGACTCTGTTGTCGATAGACCTGGTGGTAGTGATGCCGAGCGCAAGAGCAAACGCGCAAAGCGAGATGAATCTGGCTTCCACAAGAACCGCAAACGCTGGCTCGAAGAGGAATGGCGCGATGCGTATCACAATAATGGTATGGAGCGCCATGAGATCCACAAACGTTGGTTCGGCGAGGATATTCTCAACTGGCTTGGTCAACTGATCCTCGTTGGCGAGGCCAAGGCCACAAAGGAGCTTAACCATAAAGTTAATGAGAAGGTCGAGCTCATCCTTATAGATCAGCAGTTTGGACCGTGTCCTGTTGGTCCGGCCCAGGCCCAAGCGAACATTCGATCCACCATTACAGCTGAGATTGACGTTGAGACCTCCTTCGGTATCACTATCATCACCACCCTTACGCAGGGAATGGATCTCAGCAGATCCTACCTCTACTTCCGAAACGCCGGAGAGGTCAGCGCCAGATTTGAACTTGATGCCGTCGCTTCCCTAACCTACTCTACCGGTGATATCAAGCTGCTCGGTCTCGACGACTTCCCCGGCGCCACTTTCCGCGTACCCGGAGTTGTCACAGTCGGCCCTAACCTCGCCGTCTATGCCTCCGCAGATGCCTCCCTTGTCTTAGCGGGCCACCTCGAGGCAGACGTTACCCTTGCATCGTGGGAAATCCAGCAGACGTACCCTCAAAGCGACAAACATCCAGACAAAGCCCTCGACGAGCCCGACCGCGAAGCCAAAACCATCGGCAAGCCCTCGTTTGATGCCTCTGTCACTGCCAACGGCGAAATCGCCTTGCATCTCAAGCCCACTGTCAGCTTTGGAATCGACTTCGATGACCGCTGGAAGGTACCCCGGTGCGCCGTTGATCTTGTCCTGGACGGCTATGTGATCGGACACGCGCAAGCCCACTACTCACTCAACGGCGACAATAGCTGCCCCTTCAGCTATGGCATTGATGCTGGCTCGACGATGTATGCCCAGCTGGACGCCCCTGATGAGTTCGGTTGGGGTGATGACCTCCGTGTCACACTTGCGGAGGTGCCCAGGAAGCAAATCACGCCTTCGACTTGTGTGGGCAAGGGTGACAAAGATAAGCGAGCTTTGATGGGCTATGAGGCTTTCAATTCCTCTGCGGAAGAATTTACCACGCGTAGTGGCGGGTTCATGCGTATGCCGGAGTATCACGCGGTTTCCAAGCGCGACACACTTACTCTTGGGCCGTTGGTGACTGTCCCTGATCGCTTCCTTAATTGTCCTGGAGAAGGTGGTGGGAAGAACTTCTGCGTGCTGTGCTCAATGTTCGGCGAGGATAGCAGCGACAGTGATAACTCCAAACGAGAGGTTCCGTCCCTGTTCCGCCGCGACGAAGATGATTCCTGTCCTTACTACCCGCCTGGAGATGGCGGGAAGTGTTACGATTCGGACTCCACGCTTTTTGAACGTGCGGACCCGCAGGAGACCAAAGTGATGACACTGAGTTTCGTGAATAATAACGCGGCATTTGGGTATCTGAAGTATCCCCGGTGTAATGCGAAGAATGATGGTCCATCGGGTGTGGCGAAAGTAAGTTCTCGTACTATCTGTTTGTTTCAACGAAGTGGGAATGCTAATAATTATACCAAAGTGGTACCTTCCCGAGTTCATGCTCTCTAGCTCAAAGAATATCAACGACAACCGACGGTGCTCGGCAAAGACAACAAAGGAGAATACCGTCCAGTCAGCGAACAATAAGTACCTCGTCGATAATAACGCGAAGCTACCCGCTTCGGACTTCCTCTCGGAGCACATCTTCGAGGTACACCTAATCAGTCATTTCCTTGAGTGGGTGTGCAATGGAAGGACAGAACTCACGTATGGGCCAAGCGCCAAGATTGATTTCCCTAAGGGTTGGACGCGCCCTGATTCTGCATGGTGCTTGGATGTGTTTGGAGGCAAGAACCCCAGGAACATGAATAGCGGGTTGACATAAACTAATGATATTTGTACAGGCCCCAATGGTGGAATGACTTGGTCGAGGAACAACGGTCCTAACAAGAACTGGGTCCAACATACTGCCGACTTCCTAGGAAGTGGCGCCAACCTTGACCTGCTCGTTCTTTACCACAAAACGCCCAACGGAGTCAAACAGGTCATCACCGAAGGAAAGAAGTCTGGTCTGCCCGCCAATACGAAGGGTGTAGCGGACAGGGTCATGATGAGCGCCACCGTTTTCGACTACCTGCGAGAGCTCAGTGACAAATGGACCAAGCCGAGCCAAAACGTCGAATTGATCTCCGACGAATTCGACACGCAATACACCCGCCAATATGTCAACACCAAACCGGCGGGCAAGGCGCTCGGAATGCCTAAGGCCCCCCGTGATGTCAAGCACTGGGGCTTACGTACCCTATGGGCCTACTGGATCGACAGGCACCTGGACAAGGTTGAACAGGTGCAGGCGGATTGGCACAAGACTGCTAAGGGCAAGATGGAAGGCTTAGGCGTGAAAGACGCAAACGCGAAGAAGTTTGCGGCCCAAACTATGATGACGGGCGATGCAGCAGTTGGCAACTTCAAGTTCCCACAGAAAAACCCGGGTAAGCCACTTCCCGGTACTGCGACAAGTTCATCAAATGATCAGAGTAAGTACGGAATGTGGGGAGACAATCAGCTAGGAAAGCTGGGCCTATAGTAGATTTGATATCCGGATTTGATACCCGGTGTGTATATAAACGTCTATATATAGTGGTCAGAGTTGAGACCACCTAGGCAGTAACTACTGCAAATTGTAACTTATCAGTTGAGTCGAATAGCCCTAGTTAACCTGTCGATCTTCCCCTCGCTTACGTAAACGTCCTGCCCTTGGGGTCCACGCAAGTCCGTTGCTCCCCTCATTTACTTCACAAGTGTTTTTTAAACTTAAATCTGTTTACTCATCAAATGATTCAAACGCCCAAGTCGCCATGTTAGAAAGTGAATGGCAGCAAGTGCGCACTTATGCTGATCATCTGGGTCACCGCGTAGTGCTCGAGCAGTACGTCACGCCAGACTACGAGCCAGACCCCGACCACATAATCCCCATCCAGGTCTACAGCCTTGTACCCCTGGATGACGACCACACAAATCTCCGGCGTTACCTAATGCAAAGTTTCTGGGATAATGAGGTCAAGCCTTTGTTCGAGATTTATTCATACTACCCGCCCGACGACTTTGCCTGTATTGAGCATAACCGCGTTGAAATCGCCCGTCGTAAGGAGCAACACCGATCAGGGGTCGAGAATCCACTCCCGTTGATTCCGCGATTTGTTCGTCCTGACGACTACTCAAACGTTGGGTTTTGTGTGCTACTGCGATCGCACAGCTATCGACTGGGCTATATTGAGGACTCGGATGAGCTTGCTAAGCTAGGCGAAGGCCCGGACTTGCTCTACTTCAACCGCTCGTTTTCTAGCACCCGCAGTTATATTGACGACGCGCAGCGTGAATCCGAGGATGACGAGAGTCTCTCATCAGAGGGATTCGAATTGGCCACCCAACGCGTCACGGACCAGATTTATATCGGCCAGATTCTCATAATCGATATCTTGTACGGCGTCGTTCCCTCTCCGGAGCGATACGCGTTAGATATAGACGAGGGTGAGATACCTAGCTCGGATCTACCGTCAGAAGAGCAGATTCGCGACCAGCTTAGCTTAGAAACTTCAAGTGGCGGCTTCTCTCTTCATCCGGAATTCCAGGTTTCTCAGGATGCCAACATTGTAACAGTCACCAATACTCCTGAGGGCAAAACCCCCGATATTCAATACCTTGTCCATGCGCTTTTTCTCAGCTCCATTCGCGACACAGCAGGGCCCTCCCTCTTAGAAAGCACGGCGCGCCTATTCACAGCGTCAATGTTCTCCCACCTCCCGGCCAACAAAACCCTCACTCTCAAATTCTTCATCCCAAATTCCCCTTCTTTGTCAGCGATTCGCCCCGCCCAAAACGAGGTTCTCGAAATTCTATCCCGGGAAACTCAAGAAGAGGACCGAGAGAATGCATTCCCCATCGGCGCCCTGCACAACGTCTCTACGGGCGACGATCAACCCCGAATATCAAAACGCATTACTCCCCAAATACCCGAAGAACATATCATCACAGGACAAGGGAGATTCTGCGAGCTCTTTCGCCTATTCACGGTTGTTCTCGATCGCCCCAAGTTTGTCTCCGAGGCCGGGGTTTACTTCTACATGGCGTACCTGGATGCGTCCGAGAATCCGGATCCTTCCATTCAAGACGCCCCCGATGATACGCAGGTTGTGCGGGGTGTGGATATGAGTACGGTTGCTGGGCGGTTGGGGGTAGTTGTTCTTGACGGGTAAGTTGGTTTGGTTGGGTGGTTTACGACATATTTTGTGGAGATATACATTCCGAGGCAGCTGAGCTCTACTCGAGTAGTGAGCATTAAGCTACATGTACAAATCCGGAATACGATGAACAAACAAAATGAAACAAAGTGTTTGAAAACATGAAAATATCAAAGCCTAGAAACAACATGTAGGGAATGGCAACATAAAGGCATGCAGTGTAATTACTTGAGACAGTTGCACTAGTGATGCAAATAGATGCGGATGGCGTAACTTTACATATAGCAGGAAGGACCAATTGTCTAGCCTCAGGGTATTCGACAACTGGGATTCGGTAGCCTCGTTGACAAACCTCGCTTTTCAATAAGTTTGTCTTGAGTTACCATAAATCCTAGGCACGTTGTATGTAAATATTTACAAGAGTTGAGGTACTTAGGAAGCTCAAGGACACTAAAGTACATGATGTTTCCCAAAGGCGCGTAAATTCTATTATCATAGTTAAGGACCATGCTCTATCTAATCAGGGGATAGATAATATGATGACTAGGAAAATGCTACGGTACGAGTGTTACGCACTACAAACTGGTCACAGTTAGGTTAGATGGGTTCCGGGTATACTTGCCTTAATACTCCTCAGGTATCCAACGTCAACGATCTGTTCTCTTAACCGTACTGTTGCCTATCAGGCCTTACTGCAAATTAGGTCCTTTTGAGCTGTGCTGTCCCTATCAATTCCCCTCGCTCGCTTGTGGATTACGTTAGTATAGAACTTCGGATATTATTTCGATGGTGCGGCTGGGTTCCTGATCTGCACCAGCCTCATATCACAACATCATATCGTTCCACACTTCCCATGTGTTATACGACCCCGTACTTCCTAGTTAATCCGGATTACAATTATAAAAGGATACTGCAGAGCCAACATTTGCTAGCATACAAAAATAGATTAAGATTATAAAAGAAGTATAGTATTTCCAAAATTCAATAGTTATCCGTCAATTAACCCAGCTAAGGTATCACTAAAATGCAAGAAGCGATAGTCAGTCAACGGAAGGGAGCACTTTCGTTATCATTTGTGAGTCGCCAGGAGAAAGGGGGAGAAAGTAAGAGGAAGCGCTTACGAGAAGAGTGCTCCGTCAGAGGGTCTTGGAAAATAGCGGGAGCGCGTGCGAAGATGCTGTTCTCACTACACCTCAATCTAAGAATAACATGTTAGATGGCTATTTCGATCTTTCCATAATTCCCAAGGAGAATTAGGGCGCACATACTCTGCTAATAGCAGCGCAGGGGCCACCAAGGACGCCGGCAAGGATACCAAGGACACCTCCTCGGCTATACTCGTTCGCGACTTGGCCCATACAGTCGACAAACATGCAAGCCTCAGCGGTTCCTGTGGCCGATTCGCCCAGTCTGCCGGTAAAGTCTTCGGTGCACTTATCCCACTTCGCCTTCTCTTCAGCGGTAGCAGGCTCCTTATTGAAGACGCTGTTAGGGAGAGGCAGCGGGGGTAGGGCATGAGCCGCAACAGTGGAAGCCAAAAGGGCACCGGCGAGAAGTTGGAACTTCATTTTGACGGAAACGGGAGTCTAGTATTCGCATCAGTAAATCATAGCCGACGAAAGGGTGTGTTTTGCCTGGACATACTGAGCGGACTGATGGTCTGACAAGTCTTTCGTGTATTCTTCTCCTACTCAAGGGACTGGTTGTTTGGAAGCTCTTCGCGTGATCGGTTGAATAAAGATTCCTCCTGATCTAGAGAGGACTCGTGGGGGGCTTTTATAGATTTCTGGTCCCTGCCCAGCAGCGTGACTTGCCTTACCCCTATCAGCATCAAACTTTGCGAGGATGAAAGGAACCCCACACTAGCGTACTACGGGAAAGTATTAGGCAAGAAGTAGGTTTGCTCGCTCCACATGTTCGCTCCACGTCACAGCTCCACATCACAGCAGGGGTTCCCCCTAGCCTTTCAACAACGCAACGCATCAATAACACAATACTGAGAGGCACTTTCCGGCAGACCAATCTAATGACCGGTTGAGAGTAGAAGTCAAGAAAGCTTGGGAGCTGTTATTAAGAGAACCTTTACAGAGCTATTAGAACCAATAAAGGAGCGTTACCAGGCTGCGTAGGATGCCAAAGGACGGCATAACCGATTCTAGCTGAATACGATGACTAACGAAATTGGTTGTAAACTATATCTTAATGGACGGAAAGTGGCCCCTCTGAGGCTGCGTAGGATGCCAAGGGACGGCATACCCGATTCTATGTAGCTGAATACGAACAACTCATACCCGATTCTAGCTGAATACGATGACTAGCGAAATTGGTTGTAAACCATATTTTAATGTACGGAAAGTGGCCCCTCTGAGGCTGCGTAGGATTCCAAGGGACGGCATACCCGATTCTAGCTGAATACGATGACTAGCGATAAACTATATTTTAACGGACCCTCTGACCCCACTGTGATCTGAGACAAGAAAACATACTTTTTGCCTCACACCATAACCGGCATGGCTAGTTAGTACATTTCTTGGTGGAAGCTTCCAGGATGCATATTGCAACCATTAATACACAGAGATGCAGTTGCCAATCTCTAACACGCGCTACCACCCATCTGAATTAGTGAGGGTGCTGCCAGCCGTCATTGCCGATCTTTATCTCGCGAACTTACCCAACTGACTTAGTGGGGTTACAGCCAGCCCACCAGTGCAGATCTCATTTGGGATGGTGGAGAAACCAGAATCAAGGAGCAATGCACGACTGTAGGTACCCGAGGCGATCAGCAAACTTTATAAGCAAAGCCTATCCTTCCTGGCAACTTTCTAAACAGCAACAAGACGACTGCAGGTTAGGCTTGCATATTTTCCTGCCGCATTTTCCTGCCGTTCATCATGGACCGTAAATCTCTGAACGCCGGCTCATATTCTTGGTTCAAGTGTCTATTACCTTGGAACAAGGACACCGGCACTCCCCGCCTGTGCGATGGCAACCAGCTGGAGGCATTTGAGAAGGTCTATCGGCGCGCTCAAACTGTCAGCCAAAGATACGGTCAGTTGTTATTCTATATGTGAATCTAATGGACTGGTATAGGTTAGAAAGACTGAGCTTTTAATTTTTTAATTTTTTTTAGGTTTTACCTCGGAAGATTTTGTTTACTTGACGGATAAGTTTTGGGATTTTCACTTGGATAAGACCGTCGCGGAAAGCATCCCGGTTCATATCCTCATCACAATCCAGTATAATCTAGCTCTTGGGACGATCCTACAAACAGTACGCTGCGATGAGAGATACCAACCATTGGTGAAGAAAATCCTTGCTTTTGAGGTGTCGTACGTACCCGTGTCATACTGCAACAAATCCAGATGCAACGGAAAGAGGTCGCTGATGGACGTCCAGTGCCCAGTTCATGCTTACGGAAATCGACCATGGCCTCGACACAAAACACCTGGAGACAACAGCCACCCTGCAGCATGACGGCTCCTTCATCCTGAATACTCCCCATCCGGGTGCAGCCAAGTATTGCTCCTATCCCTGGGTTTATGTCGCAGTTCTCTATCTGACTTTGGACTAGATTCATGCCGCCCTCTATGCCAGTTGCCGGACTTCCGCGTGTGGCAGTGGTTATGGCAAAGCTGATCGTAAAAGAGGAGGATAGGGGTATCCGGCCATTCCTGGTTGCCCTATCTGATGGGAAAGAGATGTGCGGAGGGGTTTCAACCAAGTAATAACATTTCACTTCCTCCACCCTCCAATATCCAGATCCAGACGCTGGACAGCCACTCTAACTACTCAAATCTAGGCTGATTCCCCCACTGGGAGGTGGTGATTCACTAGACCATGCTATCACCAGTTTCGTCAATGTTCACCTTCCCCCTTCCGCACTTCTGGGCGATATCAAAACGCCCACAGACCACCAACACTTCTTCTCGGTAATCAGCCGAGTCCCTATCGGGACTCTTTCGCTGTCTATTGGCCTCCTACCGGCACAGAAAGCAAGTACAGTTATATATGCTCAGTACAGCATGAGGCGAATGGTCACCGACCCGAGCGGACACAAAGTGCCGATTATGTCGTTTCGCACACAACAACTGCCCCTTCTTCGGTCATTGGCCCAAATAAAGGTGCTGGAAAAGATGGCCCCCTGGGTTATCGAGAGGTTCAGAAATCCCACAGTCGACGCTAGGGTCAGACATGGTCTCGCAATTATAACGAAAGCCGTGTTCCTCCAACATGGTCAGCAGTCCTTAGCCCAGTTCGTCGAACGATGTGGTGCGCAGGGGCTCTTTTCGCATAACCAGCTCATCAGCTATCAGGTGTGTCACGTTCTCGCACGATCACATCCCGTAGAATGATTCAAATCAACAGACTAACCAAATGCACAAAGTCACAAATGCGCTGGGTGTCAATTTCGGAAGGTGATACCCTGGCACTGAGCATTCGTAAATTCCCCCCCACCTTTTCTCCCCCCAACCCCGCGGGAAAATAAAAGAAGTCGTGTTTTTATTTTTATTCTTAACTTCTCTTTTCTCTTCCACCGAGACTAACAGCTTGGGTTGCTAGGTCTGGCTACCGAGCTGCTTCTGGGCAGGTACGCGCTACCCTCTCCGACCATGCCGACGTGTCTGCTTGCAAAACACGAGCAGGGGCTCATTGCTGAGGCAAGGGCGCAACTTCAAGCGCTCAAGGGCGGTCACAGAAGCAAAGAATACAATGATTTCATGCTTCCGCGCTGCAGACCAATAGTTGAGGCTATTGGTCACCGTGTGGCATACGAAGCTGCTTGTGCCGCTGGTGTGCCTGAGTGTATCCTCGCTGTCTACGAGTCCGAGGTTGTGAACATGGATATTGGCTGGTATATTGAAAACGGAGAAGTGACCCGTTTAAGTCTTTGGGAGAAAGAAAATGCAGCTCTGAACGGGGTTCTTACATCCGCAGAAGCTATGATTCATGACATGGCCGCCGGCATTCGGACCACGGCGCCAATCGTTTCACAGGAAACATACGCCGCGTTTGTTGAGTCGTTGCCCAGCTTAACTGGCGAGGCGAGCTATTCCCTACATCCGGAATGTACTATAGATTAATATGAGAAAGTTATCTGCGTTGATTGGTGCTTGATTTGTGGTATATATAACGTACCTAGCAAGTGAGCTGCGCAACCCATCAAATATAGAAATCCACTGCGAACTTAAATACTACCATAACTCAACAACAAAGGATGCTAGTGCTACTAAACTTGGGATTCATAATCCCTATTAGCTGCTAAATATACGGGCAAGATTATATACAGTATCCAGGCTCACGGCAGTGTCCACAGCGACGCAGACGCGGTACACTCCCTAGGACCAACCCCAGAACTACGCGATCCCTCTCCATTTTGAGCTGCATCTCTACCATTCCTCCAGCCATCGATACATATAAGATACGGTGTTTAGGAGCAAGGAAGATAGTTCTGCATCTCCCCGCCATTGAACAAGTCCATCGAATTTTCCGTCTTTTCATACACCAAAACCTAGGATGTCGCCTACGATCATATCGTATGCCACGTTCCACAGCCATGTCAAGGTACCCCGAATACCTGTTTTCCAGACCCGGGCAGCCATGTTGGTGATTTCTTCTGGTCGCGCTGCAAGGGATAACCCAGTAAAAATTTCCTTGCCTATCGCCGTAACAGCATCGCTGCTCGTCTCCGCAACAAAAGAGGTAAGCTCCGCTGTTCCCTTACCTGCCCCGATTGGCAAACCAACCAACACCCATATCAACAGCACCAGCAGTCACCTCACCACAGCCATTGACAAAGTCCGCAGCAACGTCAGAGACGGGTGCTATTCCCGCACCTCTCCCAGCATTCCTGATGCAATCCCCAGCTCTGTTTGTAGTAATATGGACAATTTCTGTAGCGGCCGTCTTGGCGGCTTCGGACATATCTGCGATACCGTTAATAGCAGTGGCAGTCCATCCCTTATAACTTGGCCGCTAAGATGGTAACCTTGCGAAACCAATCCGCTTGCGCCGTCGAGAACACATGGAATAAGCTGCCTAGGATCCATATTTGGTTTCAGTGAGGTGTGTGTCTGGAGTGTTGTTGAAATTCCCCTCTCCTGCCTTGGGCGTCGGAGACACAAGGAGGGAGAAAAAAAAAAGGGGAGCCACCAAAGTGGCAAACAGTTACACTGCCATCAAAATCACACATTGATTCAAGCCCTTGGTTGTGACAATCTGGAATGGCGGCGCCTGGGAAAGGGAAGAGGGGACAACCATCACCCTAACAGCTTTAAAACCCTTAATCTGGTGGCCTGACCACAACATGTGGAGGTCGGCAACCTAAAGCATATTACGACCATACTTGAACTACCAGGCATCTGACCCACGTCATGGCAAAATGTTCGCTTCACCCAGTAGCCTGGAACCTGTCATCCAGTTCAGCAAATCACTTGGTCTAGACTAGATAACATGCTATATTAACGGCTCTAGACGTTCTAGGCATCCAGAATCCATGTAGTCAACTCGGCTACCTAGATGCTATGCCGCTATAGCTGCACACAACCTACCTACGAGCAATACTATCGCTGATACCGCTTATGCTCAGTTAAACACACTCCATGGTATGCTTTTCCCTCTCTGCGCTTTTTGTTGTGAGTCTTGCGAATCCAACAGAATCCCCACATACAAAAAGGACCGCGAGCTCCTCGAAACCATCCACAGCTGGTGGCTAAGCTACCTCCAAGGTGCATTTGAGAAACCAAGCCAGAAGGGCCGGCCTAATTGGCATGCACATCACAAGAATCTACCAATATCCCCCCACTTTGAGACGCATATTAGTGGATATTAATGGGGATGAGTTGTGGCGAGTTCTTAGAGGGTACATTAGTTTCAGCGCATCTACAAGTGCCCTCTGTAACGTAGGACTTCATAATGCAGCATTACCTATATTTCGGATAGTTGAACATATGATCTTCAGCTCAGCCATAAGCACCCTCTGGAACTTATGTTCTCATAGTGCAACGCTACGAATATACCAATTGGTCGAGGAAATATATCCTTCTTCCTAGGAGGAAAGTCGCCTTCCGATGATCAGAAGTGGACTCCGAACTTAGAGGCGGTACGGGCCTCAATACGATTCGCCATCGCCACGGGCCGACTCGAGGCCACCTAACCATGCCAACCAACATAAATCAATCCCTTTCGCCGATCTAACCCACCAACCACCTCGTGTTACAGATGGTAGACGCGCTTCAACTGCCGAAAATAGGATGTTGAACACTTGGAGAAGCGCCTTCAAGCCAGCCTACTAACAAAACTACTAACCCACGAGGATCCGCTGCGATACGGACATCTGAGATGACATATATTGCAAGGCTTTATGTATGGGCTCTGAGGAGACACAGTACTATATATATTATGACATGTATAGTAGATCAGAGATAGTTGCCCTTTCGGCTTAGCCGCCGGGCGTTAATAAATTGTGTGTGTGTGTGTGTATGTAATTCTTGGGAAGGACCAAATTTCAAGGATTCTAATGATGGTCTTTCGGGGAAAAAAAAAAAGGCTAAAGCAAGGGCTTCGATAGCACTCTACTATTGGTCGGATAGATACTGATATCCATGTGCCATCTGGCAAAATCCTGGACCCACTCGGTTAGAATGAAAACAGTGTAGACAGATCCCGATGCGACTCGTCAAATCATCTAAACCATAACGAATGAAATCTCGATATTCAGGCGCACAATGCTTGTACCCGAATCTGCATTCAGCACTGGATTCTTCTGGGACTGGATGCGGCATCCTATGTGCTCGCTCTATTGCCTCGCCCACGACAGACAAGGCAGTCGGCCAAAGATTATGTGTCTCGAGTAGTTTCATGTAGGCAAATGCGTATTTGCTTGTCCATCCGCATCTGTGGACACACGCCGGAGCATTGATCCCTCCAATCAGAATCTCTCCCAACTTCAGCCTCGCGAAGCCCCTTTGCTCTTCTAGCAGACCTAAATTGAATGGTCAGTCACAGGTGGGCCATTTCACCTAGCTTGAAACTTACAGAACACTCTCTCGCCCAAAACCGACACAACATCTTCGCTCGAAAGGTCAAGGTAAAAGCCACCGTAGTTGAGAATCAGAGCCTTCGTAATGTCTCTGAATGCCTGTATGTTCTTAAACAAAGTTGCCGCAGCCGCAAGAACAATGAGATCACTAGCTCCCTTATTGGGAGGGCACAGCCAGAATTCACTGGCAAAAGCCAAAGCGTCAATAACGCCGAATTTGTTCGCCGTGACAGCGATTCTGAGAATATCATTTACAGCCATGATCTGAGGTATCAATTTGACCTGATGGTGCAAGACTGCACAAATACATCTCAGCGCAGTCGCATTCTCTTCGGGCAGCAGTATTTCCACGGGAAGACCCGCACCGCGTATATCATCGCCTTCCTTCCAGTCGGGTCCCAAGATGGTACCTAGTAGTTTCGAGACTGCTTTAAGGACAAGCGACTGCACGCGGAGCCTCAGCTTTTCCGGCCCGACAACTAGAACAGTATCACCAGCTGCAGCGATATTCACGACTGGGCAACGTATCTTGTCCCGCGTTTCTGCCATACCAAATTGATTGGAATATACTTTGCTAAATACAACTGCTCTAGTCAAGGTGCACGTAAGGCGATTGTCTCTGGTCAAGGAACTAATAAGCAATCAGGTTGGATATTACTGGTCACGGGCAGTCTTCAAGCAAATATTTGAGTGGGATATAAATACAAAAGGCGAGGGCAAGTGGGATTTCGGTTTACCTTTAAATCGGGCTTAGACAAACCTATCAGTGCGCGTGCTCAAGACAACAGGCGACAAGTCCCGCAACGCATTTTTCGATCCAGTCAGTGGAGTCTCTCCCACCTGCGAGAACTCGTCATAATCCTAATTCGCCCCTTAAAGCTTTCTTATTCGTGCTAAAAACATTGTGCGACGTGACTGTTGGGGCTGCAGGGTTTATCACCCGGTTCCACGGTCTTACTGTCCACCAAATTATGACCTGACACGTGGAGACATGAAGCGGGGTAGGTTCGAGTGGTCTCGAATAGCTGTCTTGACTTTCTGGACGCAGCCCAAATGCGGCGAGACATATGATGGGGGCACTTACGCTGGACATTTCAGATGCGTCATCCTGATACGTGAACATGATATAGTGCAGATGTCATCAGTCCATTCGCTGCTTTGACTCAGGTAGGTAGCGAAGCGCCAAACTTGCTATTTCTGCAGTTCGGGTGTCACAAAGAGTTTTTTTTTTAAAAAAAACCACACAAGGAGGTATAGGGAATGTGGAGGAGGTGCCTATGCAAGCCGCCTGTTGATACATCACCTCGCTTACCTGGTTGCATGCGCACGGGGTGGTTCCCCTAAAAAGGGGAAGCTGGATCCTCTTAGGGGGACCAGCGATTAGTCTGCATATTATCATACCATATCAGGCACATCTCACGTTCTTCAATACCATCCCAGCTATTTTTCCAAAAATAAACGATCACCCTTGGACCATAGCAACATCAAGGGAGTCCCAATGTCAAACGTTATGAAATGAAGCACTGTCGTGGGTGCTCTTGGAACAGACCCGCCTACACACTCTTCATTGTTATCTCTAATCCAGAACCATGTCATCAGAGTCCCATGCGTACTACAATATACTGCTAATAGTATCAAACAACTCTCAGAAGTGTGAGTGTCATCGTATGTACTAACGCCGCTATCATCCACATGAGGTGATCTAAAGGTTCTGAACTAGGTTGAGTATGGAAGATACTATAGAGGAAATGTGTTCTAAGAGTAGACCTCCTCCCTAAGGTGCCATTTCCCTTGCATGGTGCATAATGAGCCAAGTAAACCATCTAGGCCCCGTGGAAACATACACGGCTATAACCTTATCAATATCTTCCGCCCTTAGACAGAATGTATGAATGTTTATTAAAAAAGAATTACATGTGCAAGCCGAGGCGCAATAGAGAGGTACTAGTAGTGACTGAAAATCGTGCATTTCCATGACCTTCTACATTAGCTCAAACAGTTTCTGTTCAATGGCTGGGCTCTAGCGAACGTAATCTGCCCGCAGACTCGTTATTGATGGCCCTTTTTTATTAAAGCGAAAAGGTCATTGAAGACATCGCTTCTACTAGTTCTTATACATATTAGGATTTTACAAAAATGTGCGGTTTTTTTTAATCCGTTAGCTACTTCCCTTATGATTTAATATTGTAATGTTCATATAATAAAACCTTGCCTTGCCAAATAATTGGGTCAATTGATCAGTTGACCACCCTTAAAATGATATTGGACTATATTATACCAACCACTCTTATTCCTAGGACCTTACTATCTAAGGGACGTGTTCATTAAAATGCCTAAGGAGGGTTTATCGTACGAACAGAATGCCGAAGCGGCCTATATAACACGATTCAAGTTAAGAAAATACACAGAGAGATAAAGTCAAAGAAACAAAACACAAAAGTAGGACTAGCGACTACTCTAGTCAATCAGGTGGCTAGGAAGTTAGAAAATTAATTTTTAGCGGAAAATGTGGATAGCTAGTTAAGTCAATTAAAAAGTTAGTTATATAGAGTAACTAGAGAATAATACAATATATAAACACGTAATTAAGTGATAGTAGGGGAGAGTAGAGTATAAATCCGATAAAATAAACAATTTACTCAGCCGAGGTTTAGAGTAAATAATATTTCGTATACTATCACAATTCTTAGATCTTAATATAGCTAGATAAACAAACTTATACGGAATTATAAGGCTAGGCTAGTTAAATAACTATAAAAATAATTATTAGTATAGAAAGTAGTTTACTAGGTTAACTACCCCGCCGTATCACTCCTACACCTCTCCCTAGTGTAAGCTAGTTAATAAACCTATTTATTTACTAGACCCTAGACCCTAGTATTTTCTATCCGTAAAAGTTGCTTTCCGCTACCTAGTTATAATAAAATATTACTCTTAACTAGTATCGCTATTTCCTAGCGTTAAATCTATAGCATATTCGCGTTCCCACTCGTTAAAGATATATAGGCGTGACCCTCTAATACTCGTAAACTCTAGACCAGTGCGGTAAGCGGTAGCGACTCCCTAGTTACCACTACCTAGCTAGTCCTATATTTCTAGTCGAGTATATAAAGGTCGCGGGGAATTACGTATAATAGATAAGTTAAAAAAATAAAAGCTAAAATAAATTCGCACTATCTAAACGCCTATTAACTATATAATTTTAGTATTTATAATACGATTAGAGCTAGTTTATTATTTAGCTTTAAGCGTTATATACTTATTCGAAGAATAATAGCGAGTAGATAAGCTACTATCTTTTATAAAGATATAAGAAGTAAAGGCGCGAAGACTTATACCACTTTAGTTATATCTCCTATAAGTCCTAGGACCGTATAGGTCGAATCTAATCTACTATATCTACTACGAAAAAGTTAGCTTTAATATTAGAACCTTTCGTAAAATATATAATACTAACCTTATAAGTTTTTAAACGATCCTTTATAGTAATCACGTTTCCTATAGCTCTATTAAAGCCTCTAAGTAATCTCTTAGCTTATATTAAAGTATTCTACACAACGGCAAGCGGGGCGCGGGAAATAGCGCCCATTTGCCTGTTGTTCCGCCCGCCCCGACCGCCTGCCTGACTGCGGTCTCCCCCTGCCCCTTCCGGCCTAGTGGCCCGCTGAGGTGCTCCGATCGGGCTAGCGCCGCAGTGGCCGCTTTTACTAGTCTGGCCCTCGGCCGTCCCATCTATAAAACACCACTCGCCCTCCCTCGACTCGTTGACGCACTTTCTCTTCTGCTTCCCACTCTCTCGACCCCTTTTTCCTTTCGCCCCCACCGACCTGTGCGCGCTGGCACTCGCACGCCCCTGCCTTGCGCCCCGAAATGACCTCGCACATCGGACTTCGTCGGACATGCCGCTTGACCCGCCGCCGCTCGGCCCCGTCCCTGGCCGCGTCGACTGCGATACGATCAGTCGGCCAGGAGTTGAAGCGCTGAGATGACCCGTTTTCGGCCTTTTCCCGTGAGTCTATGCCCTGTCTATTACTTTTTAAGTGACTAATGTGGTTGATTATGCTTTAGAGCGACTTAGAATGCCTTTTGTTTCTAAGCCTTTGTTGAAGGTCATTCTCCTATTTCGCCCGCGTCCCTCGCGCTTGTAGGGGTATCTCGGATCTCCTCGCCACTGGACCCATTCTTCCGTATAGTTGTTACTGATGTTACATCGCACAGCCCCCGGCGTCACAGATTCACCTACACCTGCTCGTTCGTGGGCCTGGTGGCGGCCTATCGTCGTTATGGTCGGTCTCACCGGCCCCGCTGCAATGAGCTAGGTTATCTTCGATAACTCATCTCGGTGCCGTGAGCTAATAGCAAAAACCCCGCGTCTGTAATTGAACCGGATGAGGAGCTTAGTCTGCGAAGATGGCGTGACGTGGTCTTATCGAGGCTATACTATTGGCAGTGAGACTGGGAGCTGTATGGTTACGTGTTTTGGGGCGCTCCACATCGGATTACCCGATATGATAGGAATACCTTCCGCGGCATGAGAGTTATATCCTCTCGCGAGGCTGATTTCATGGGTATAAAGGACACTAGCTGTTCCACTCGAATAGCACTTCGGCACTTTAAACCTATTCCAAGTTCTCCGCTCCCCTTTCCCCCGATTCTATATTAATTGTAGCTCTATTCCCCCTTCCAGTTTCCCTCTGGCGAATTCGTACTATCCCTATACCCTAACGCCTTCCAAGTTACCCCTGCACACGATATGTTAAGCGCTAGTTATCGCTTAGAATCCTTCCGGCCTTGGAACCTCCCCTAAGAGAAAGTACAACCTTTACGGGATCGCCTCGGTACTCGGTACCTAAGCCCGGTCTCCATATCTGCGACGCCTTCGCCCTCTAATCTTAGCAATCCTATTTTAGAGACTTAGGAGACATATGCTTTAAGACTTGAGCGGCATCCCCTACCTGTTCGCCTACCGGCAGAGGTTTACTTCAATGGCGGTCCACAACCGAACGCTTAAATCACTCGACACGAGCCGGAGATATTGGAGCTAACATCTCCGACTTACCCTAGCCCTAACGCCTTCGATTTTGAAGACTCCCTATACCTTAACGATCCTCTAAGTGTTGGAGATGGTGATCATATAATGATATGCGAACAAATCGTCCCGGATTCTAAGCACCAATCCCTCGGCTTAGACTTAAGTGGCTGGGAGCTCGCTTTCACTCCTGATTAGCACTCTCAATTTGAGGTTCTTGAAAGCCCTATGCAGACCGGACACTTTGTAGAAGATCTGACAATTGATCCGGTAATCCTGGACGATAATCGTTCCCGCGATGTTGAGTAGGCTTAAATAACACCAACTACCACTATCACCGTAGCTATTCCACGCAGAATCCTAGTTAAACACTCTCGCTCCCCGGTTCGAGACGCCTATCACTATAGTAGGCAACACGATCCTAAAAGGCCGGTGAAAGTCGGTCGGCTACCTGCCAAAATTAGCAAAGTTTTAGTTGTCGTCGACAATCGCCTAAAAAAAAGGGTTAGCCGGTCCACTC